CGGCCGCCTCCTGCGACCCCGGGGGGCGGCAGGCTGGTCTTAGACCTGGGGCACCCGAAGATCAGCCCGATCTTGCAAATCAATGGTTACCTCAGTCAGACCGACGGTCTGGCCCTCAAGGGGGGGGGCTTTGCAGTTCTGGGTGTCCTCGTACAAGTTCCAAGGGTTCACCTTTGGTTCGGGGTGCCGCCCCCGGCCCTACTGCGTGATGTGGGGTCCCCACACCACACGCTCTGGAAGGTGTTTCTGGCTTTATTGCTTTGTTCCGAGTACCTGGCACGTGCTCTCTCTTCTGCACCGTACTACCGTGGCGCCTAAGTATGGACGGATGGCGAAAGCTGTCTCGGCCTAAGAGCTTCTTTGTAAGAGATGGGCGCTTTCTATCGCACTGCTCTGTGACAGGGGCTTCTCAGGGCAGCTGTCACTGCTGTGTGGTCCGGGCCATGAGAAAGGCAAAGGAGGGGCTAGAGTTCTTCCCGACTGTGGCCCCTGGTCCATGGCCACGGTTGCTTTTTGTGATTTTGAGTTACTACTAACGTCCACATTTGCAAAGCTGCTTTAATTCTACCGCATCCAAAACCTAGGGAACCCCACGATTTTGGAAAAAAACCCAAAGGAACCCCATGAGCATCACCTCCACCAGACAGAGAGAAGACCGAGGTGACGAACCGAGCGCACCAACTTCTATTCACAGCCCAATCTCCCGGAAATCACCAGTGGAAAGGGGCCCGGGCCCCAGTCGGCTGGGGTGTCCAGCGCGGTCACCGGTGGTCCTCCCTCGGTCCTGAGACGCCCAGGCGGTAGGAAGCGGGAAGCCCCGGGCGTCATCACGCCTTCGGCCAGCTTTGGCCTCCGTCGGGGGCTGACCTCAGGCTGAGGTTAGCCGGAGGAGCCCGGGGCGGGACTTGGGAGGTGCTTACCATGAAGAGGTGGCCGTCGGCCTCAGGCTGGGTCTGGCGGGGCCTGGCGGGCAGGGGGTTCCCCTTGGGGCCCAGTCTGGATTCCTACAGGACCCAAGAGAAACAAATCGCAGCCACCCCAAGGCCCAGGCCGTGGGCAGACCGGACCCCTTGGGCGTGGCTGGCTGGGGTGGGTTAAAGATGTGCGCGCCAGCCCCAGGGCTGCGCGTTTCCACTCCTGCCCGGTGCTTTACCACCGGAGCCACTGTTCACTGGAGATGGGAGTGTCACGGACTTCCCTGCCCGGGCTGGCTTTGAACCGCGATCCTCAGATCTCAGCCTCCTGAGTAGCCAGGATGACAGGCGAGAGGCACCGTGCCCCGTTTCTGCCCAGTTCATCGCTGGCCCAGGCCGGCCCCGAACCGGGGACCCTGTCCTCCGGCCCCTCCTGGAAGGCCAGACGCACCCATTTTCCCGAAGGTCAGGGATGACGCCACAGCCGCAGGCTGCGTCCCGCCGCGCGCACGCCCTGCTCCGTGTAAACTGAGGCCGGAGGCGCGGCCCGCGGCCGGGCCCG